TGCTGGAAGCATCACTGCCAGGGGAGTCCTTTACTCCCCCAGTTCTCTCTCTCAGTTCCTCTGGGTCCAGCTCTCTAGCCCATGGTGATGTCAGCAGGTAAACTCTGCTGCTCCCCTGCCTTCAACCCTCTCCCATCCCTTGGCTCCAGCTCTCCAGCTTAGAACCAGCAAGCAAAGGGAACTGCTACTGCTCATCCGGTCTTCGGCCCTCTGGCCTGGTCAGGGATGCCAGCCAGCAAACTCCCCTTGCATCTCTACTGCCTTCAATTCCTCCCTCTTCCCAGGGAGGGCCTGCCAAGTACTCTCTGCAGCTTTCCCCAGAGACCTGACCTACTCTACTCTAACTGGGACTCTCTTCCTCACTGGTCTCTCCTTGACATTTTATACGCCCTAGGTGCTGCACCACTCTCTTAATTGGCCACATGGATGGACATGCATTGTTACAGGGAAGCTGTACCTACTTCATTTACTGGGGCCAGCCACCCTGTGACAGGAAGTCAATGGGACTGTAAGTCAGTGCAGTGTAGCCTCTGTGGACATAAATATGAATGTACAATAGACTGAGATGCATGATAGAACTATTACATCAGTCTTTTCTGTTTCATTTTTCAAGCTAGCAGATTACATTAAGTGCCAGATCCTGCAAGGCCTCAGAGCAGAACTCGGGATCTAAGGAACATTATCAACTATCAGAAATAGGGGCCTTTATTTTTCCTATTGCACCGTTTGAATGGACTGTAAATAATTTTCAAATGTATTCTAAATGAAAAGAACAAGGCTTCCTTTAGTGATCTCTCTAACTGCCTAAGACAACATATTCAATAGTATATCATATCCATCAGTTTTTAAAAAAACCAAACAGTTTTTCTATTTTTATGACATAAGATAAGTGAAATCTAGGGAACTTAATACTGCTAATGTCTTTTATGATACTGTACTGTCCAGTTTGCATGTCTGCTCAAATAAATATGTAAATTATAGACACAAGACAAACTAAAAACCTATTCCACAGTTCTTAATGTGTAGAAGCTTAACAATTAAGAGGAGGTACAAAGCCAAGCTATTATCAAGGCACCTTCTTGCCACCCAGGTGACAGTGACACCTCTGTACAAGCTGAACAGGAATATTTAAGAGTAAAAACTAAAATAAAATAAAGTTAAAGATCTAACAAAGTGATTGCACACAAGGAAATGTAGACTTAAAGTCACCCTTCCATAGTTACTTATGTATTTCAGGAACCTTAGAACAGTGGGCTATTTTGCTCTAATTGGCTTAATTTGGGGTGTAGTATTTCAGTGATGACTGAGGCCAGCTTTTAGAATAATTTATTTATTAGCTAAAAGCAATAAATAACTTCTAAAGTAAACATATTACTGGTGCTGCTATGATCTAGCCTGGCTCCATTCCTTGTCCTAGTCTCAGCAACTGGTTCCTGTCTCTGAGTCAGTCAGCAGGAAGTCGGGCACTGCAGTGTTCTGCTTCAAACTTCGGCTGAAACATATAACGTTTTGCAGGATGCTAGATACCTGCAGTTCTTACTGTGCTCAGTAGAAGTTTCAGGTGCTCAACAACACCGTAACAGGCCTAATATATGTGATAAAACCTATGACAGCAGAGCCCGTTAAAAAACTTACAGCCATAATTTTGTTTTTCTGATTTCATTAGTGAAACTTAGAAATTTGATCTTATTTTGAGGTACTATTATATATTCATTTCCCCTTGTTATGGATCAGTAATACATTATATATAATTTCTATTAACTGGGCCAAAAAAGGAACATTGTATGCGATTTGTCAGATGATGTGAGATCGTTCGTTTAGAATGTGAGACAATGGATATGTGCAAAATAATATCAATGAAGATATACAGAAGACCTTAATTTCATTTTTGTAAAAGTTAAGTGGCACTTCATACTTTTTTTTTTTAAAGGCAGGCAGATGCCACTGGGTATATATTTGGTCCAGTAGTGGGACTGATAGTCCTTCATTCACCATTTATACAAGAGTTTGAGAGATACAATATTATACCAGATAAAGAGGCCAACATCATAAGTTTGGATGGAAAAATCCCCAGTAATGAGTAACTGGCACAGGAAGCTATGTGCAGAAGTGAACATCCCTTCTCTCCATCAACCCACCCCCACCCCTCTCCAATAGAGACAAGTTTATAGGCCTCTGAAGGGGGAAAAGTCCACAAGCCCTGACAAGTGAGAGGAATCTCACATTTCAGAGCAACAGCTAACCATTCTGAACTACTCCCTAAGTCTGCCTCCACTCCAGGTTGTAAACCTCAATACCTTAAATCTTTATAATTCAACCAAGCAGAAGACAGAAAGCAAGATGTTATATAGACATCTAAGGTCTGAAACCTAAATAAGGATAATCAAACTATAGAGAAATTTCCTTGTCACAAATGTAAGACTCCCTGATGTGGAGAAAAGTAAATAAAAAAGTGATAATCTATGTAAATTATATTTTTTCTAAAATGGTTTCATTTGCCATGGCAATCATTGAATCAAATGGCAAACATTGACACAATTTTCCTCTGAAAAATTCAATATACTATATATCTCCAGGGCATCTTCTCCTTTCAGCTGAATGATTTATATAACTTCACACCACAAAAGAAGCAACATTCCTTAAATTCTTATTGATAATTGTTCATGATTAGTTATGGATACAAACAAACATCTGTAGAAGCATAGAATGCTCCTGGTTACATACATAGATTAAGTGAAATACTAGTATTTCCCCAATATTTTGTGTCAAAAGAAATAACTTATGGGCCTTAATTATAAGAAATCAAGTTCGATTCTCAAGATCACAACAAATATATATTATAATTATACTAAAAAGCTACATTAAGGTTGCAAAGCCACATAGTCAAAAAAGTTAGAACATGCCAGAATTAAGGTTGTCTGTGTAATGATAATAATTTGTTGAATAGATGTTCATTAATTGAGCACTGTTCATCCTGTGCACTGAATGAGGCAGGGGACCTGTGGGGAAAATAGCATGTGATCATGTAAATAAAGACAGCATAATAATGCATAGACAAACAGGGACTGAATTAAGATTGCACAAACAACTTTAATTCTGGCATTTCCTAACTTTTGAGTGCTTGACTTTGCAAGTTTAATAATGTCCTTTCAATGTAGTTTTGTGTATGTATAATTTCCTAGGTTTTTAGGAGCACAAACCGAAAAAAACCCAGAAATTCCATCATATGGCATCATATTGACAACCACATGTTCAACAGCAGGGTTAGAACCTTTAGATCCATCACACAGATCTCCACCTCTTGAGCACACAGAGTAACCGATAGCAATAGTAAGCTGTCATCCTCTGTGTGGACCAGCACTAGAGGGGAATGAAACTCACACTTTGCCAGAGGTTTTCACAGATATTTACTGAAAGCACAGGAATGGTGAGACTCAGGAATCTTGGATTCCTTTACAGGCTCTGAAGTGGAGTGTGCTGTAGTGGGCACAGATTTGTCTGCCCATTTCATACCAAGTTGGATCCCCTTCTGCACCATCCCTTCAATTTGTCCCTATCGCAGTCCTGTCTCTTCCCCACCCTGTGTCTTTGTCTCAGTCCCACTCTCCTTGATTATCCAGTGCCTGTAATCACTCCTCAGGCTTTTCAACAAGTCTCCTTTTCCAGCCAGTCCTAGTTTCCCCTCCAGGTTCGCTGTCTGATTACCGGTCTCTCCTCCTCTCCACACCCAGTCCAAGTCTTTTTGCCTAGCCATTCCCAGTTACCACTCCCAGCTCCTTGTCAGATCTATCTATTCCCTTCCTCACCCCATTGGCTCCCAGTCTTAGTCTCCCTCCCCAGGCTCCTCATCCAATCTCAGTCTCCAGCCCCCATTCCCTTTGCCCAGTCTCCCCTCCTTGGCTCCTTACCCCTGTGTCATTGCCCAGCCAGTACAAGTTCTCCCACTGAACTCCAGGTCCTTCTCAGATTTGTTTCCCCTCCCCTGTTCCCATTCCCCACCACTGGTCCCTAGTCCCAGTCTTTGTCCAGCCAACTCCAATCTCTTCCCCTACCCCAGCTCCTTGCCCAATCACATTGTCTCCCCACCAGCCAACTGGCTCCAGCTCCCCCAAACCCATTTCCCTTATCAGTTCCCAGCCTGTCTCCATACCCAACCAGTCCCAGCCTCCCCTCCCGACTCCCCAGCTCCCAGTCTCCCTGCCTAGCCAGTGCCAGTATCTATACGCAGTTCCAGTTGCAGTCTTATCACACTCTTTGTCCCTTGGCTGGAGCCTCACAAACCGCCTCCTCCCTCCTCCGACTGGTCAACGATTCTAAGGAGAGAGGGAGGAGCTACTCAGTGTCCCTCATTGAGTATCTCCCTCCCTCACTGCTGGGGCTGTTCCTCTTCACTACCAGCCCAATCAACTTCCCCCAGCCATTGAGGTGTGTGGATGGCATTTCTGACAATAAGGGAGCACTGAACTGCAGCAACATCTTGGCCATATCCCTTTTATCTCTGCTACTCCCACCCTGCGCAGGGCAACAAAGATGGGGTAGGGATATGATTGGGTTATGCATGTGGTATACTACATGGGAATTATCCTATGCAGGTAAACCAACTTTTCATCTGCTTTGTACCACTCAAGCAGTAAAAAGTAAGTAGAATAAGAGCCCGGATCTCCCCCAACATGTGAGCCACCTTCTCAGGTGAATCATGCTATATTTCCTCTCCCTCCATCTTAAGTTTCATAGAAATTAAATCTGCATTTCTTCAAAGGCCACCCAAATGTATCCTTGCAAGTTGTTCTTGTTGCTTTTGAAATTAGGCAAGAAATACACATCCTGATTTACATAGAAGAGATCTGTGGCATATATATATTTCTTCCATGTAATTGGTTCTTTTTTAATCCTGACCTGAATGTAGATCATTCTTAATGTACAGCTTCAAATAGCCTTTGAACTAGGGTTTTTGGTTGTCGTTACTTTAAATGATGAAAAAATGCCCTCTTATTTTACAGCTTGCATCAGATGCACCAAGATGAAGAACAGTGACAACGTAGTTGTTCACCCATAACCCCAGGACATCAGGTAAACTGACAGTGTGTAATTACAAAGAGGTGATATTAAGTTAAAACCTATCGCTAAAGTAGTGCTATTGCATATGCATCCCCTGTTTTTCAAGGCAGTGTTTAAAATAAAAAGGCTTCACTGAGACAGAAAAACTGCTATAGTTATATCATAGCACACTGAGTTTCAAACCTTTTAATGAAAGACATAATTCTTCTGCTGTCTGCATCATACTATATTCTCATGCAAAACACTTTAATGCATAGTGTAAATTATCTAAGACTTTCTTAGTATATATTACATTTCTTAATCATATTGGATGTCATGTTGCAAAACAGATTGCTCGGGCTCTGTATGCTCGGAGGGTCTATATTTGAAAACTGAGGGGGGCTTTTTGTTTGTTTTTTAAATGGGCAGTATTTGTTTCTAAATGCATATGTCATCAATGAAGCAAAAACTATTTTGTCCAAAATGCTTAGCATTCTACGTTTTTTTTACCCAAACCCCTCTGAAGCCTGGAAATGTGAATACAGCATCTGGATGATCCAATTTCTCTGAATTTCAATATAAAAATATGGCCATATTTGGAGCTGAATGAGATGGAATTTATCTGAGCTAATGTTTTCAGCCACATTTATCCTTCTATTCAACAAGCTTTTGGTGCTGTCACAAAGATGGTGTTTTTGTTGTTGTTGTTCATTTTAAACAATGAATCCTATTTCAAGCAGGGCACTGCAGTTGCCAGCTTAGCAAACCACTTTGCCCAAGATAGGAGAACAGGAATTGCACATTATTAGAATGTAAATGGCTGAAATCTTCATTGGAAAGGTCTGAGCTTTGAATTATATGCCAGGTCTTATTGATGAGACCCTACAACCTGGTGATGCAACATACTATCTGATTTACTGACACATACGGTTGATTGGCATCATGTTGATTGGCATCATGAAAGTGCTAAATAAATCTTTTTATACATGCTGCATTCTGAATTTCATATGTGGCTTCCTAATTTTGAAAAACTCTAAGATACCAAACAATTTGGTCTCAGCACCTGATTCTCCACTGTCTTGGTCTGAGGTAGTCATTTATGCCTGAGCAAAGCAAGTGTAGGATGCTACCAAATCAGAATGGCAGAGTGGCATGGCCCCAAACTGCAAGCCTTGGCCAGGTGTGGAATTTGCCCCCCACGTGTGACCCCACTGGCCTGACTGGGGCTCCCCCCCCCAAATATAGATGTCAAACTATGCCTATGGTTTTACAGTGGTTAACCTTTCCAGACTACTGTACCTCTTTCAGGAGTCGGATTTATCTTGTGTACTCCAAGTTTCACCTCACTTAAAAACAACTGGCTTACAAAAATCAGATATAAAAATACAAAAGTGTCACAGCACACTATTACTGAAAAATGGCTTACTTTCTCATTTTTACCATATAATTATTAAAAAATCAATTGGAATATAAATAGTGTATAGTATATGGAGCAGTATAAACAAGTCATTGTCTGTATGAAATTTTAGTTTGTACTGCTAACTAGTGCTTTTTATGTAGCTTGTTGTAAAATTAGGCAAATATCTAGATGAGTTGATGTACCCCCTGGAAGACCTCTGCGTACTCCCAGGAGTATGTGTACCCCTGGTTGAGAGCCACTGGTTTACACAGATGCAAATGAGTTCATAAGGTGCAAGGCAGTGGGTAATAGGGCCCTCAGGTCTTGTGGGGATTTGGCATGGGCACCTGAGAACAGGACATACATATAAATACTAACAAAGCCCTGATCTTGTATTTAAAATTGCATTATTGCATTAGCCATGATTTTTTATCTTTGAAGATAGCTCAGACATGCTGATTATATCAGCTCTCAAAAGACTGACTTGATTGTTGTTATATTTTTGTCTGTACTTAAGACAAATACATATAATTACAAACAATCAGCCAAATTTTTAGAACAATCTGTCATATTTTCAGCCTCTCAAGATTTGGCTCAATATTATTACAAACTGTCAGTGTTCTTGAAATCAGTTACTTTGAATTATGGAAAAATGTGGTTATCTAAAAAAAGTGTTGTCACCAACAATGTTCCTTGACCAATTCTCTTGGATAAATGGTTCCACAACAGCTCAGACAGTATTACTGCATGCCAAATATTATTAATCTTTATGAATATAGCTTGAAAACTTATTAATTGTAAAGCAATATGTAACTGTTAAGAATGAGCATTTATACAAAGCATGTAAAACCCAGTTTTGATAAATACAAAGCTTTAAAATTAATGTTTTATAATGAAATATAGACCAAAGTAATGAAAGTCAGAGACAACATCAAAGGTTGTGACACTTTTTTGAACACAGCACAAAAGGATCCAACAGGAACAACTTGTATATCTTTTGGTCTTTTTGTTCATAGTCTGGATCAATCACTGGCTGATGCTTGTAGCTGTTATTCATGACCTGTCTGGTGGCGTTATGACCTTTTCTATTTTATTGTTTTATTTGATGTTTGTGGTATTTTATATAATTGATTTATGTATGCTGATATGTTTGGGAGCTTTCTGGTAATATACCACAGTGCTTGAATGTCTATAAGTAATGACACATATTGCAGTTACTGCGCCTTCTTGGCCAGGTCACCATTGTAAATAAAACTTGTTCTCGATAGACTTTTATGTGGTTAAAGATTTTGAGTGATTGATTGAAAGGAAAATGTTTGCTAACAGTCTACTGAGTGAACACAAAAAAAATGTATTATTTATATCACTAATCCAGAAAAAATATTTTCAGCCTTTTAAAAGAATAGGATAAAATGTAGCATAAACCATCCAGCTTCTGCTTTGTTCTGCTATCTGTATTTCCCAAATTGCATGTTTCATAATGTTTTGCTTTCCTCTTACATCCAGTAAACTTCATTGTGTTTCACAAAGTTCATTATGGTACAAAGGAGGAAGTATCTCCAGTGTGGCAGATTTTATCAGAAAATATACTGGGACTGTCCTTTTATTTACTTTTTCTCCTCTCAAAACAGTATATATATATTTTTAAATCAGAGAATGCATAGAATTGGAGTGAATAATCAAGCTGCGTAAGTGGTGAAGTTCTCCTGCTAGTCAAAGGAAGTTTAAACTTCTTTTCATGATATGTGGGTTATACAAAACTATCAGAGTCAACTGATGCCTGCTATTTAATCAAGAAACATGGACCAGGCTTTACAGTAGAACCTCAGAATTACAAACTGATCAATTAACCACACACCTCATTTGGAACTGGAAGTACACAATCAGGCAGCAGCAGAGACCAAAAAAGCAAATACAGTACGGTTCTGAGTTAAATGTAAACTGCTAAAAAATAAAGGGAAAGCAACATTTTTCTTCTGCATAGTAAAATTTCAACACTCTATTAAGATAATGTTCAGTTGTAAACTTTTGAAATAACTTTTTTTTAGAGTTACGAACATTTCAGAGTTATGAACAACCTCCATGCCTGAGGTGTTCATAACTGAGGTTCTACTGTAGTTATATAATACTGTAACATTAATTTTAGAATGTATAGATAGTGGATTTTCTGCTGTTTGTACTCTGAAACGTTCTCTGGATTTTTTTTGCTCAGCTTCCAGAGAACCTAATCATGATTTAGAAAATGAGCTGTTCAGCACTGTTGATACACAGTAAAGGTTCAAGGCTTTGGTAGTCTTCTCCTCACTAGCACCCATTCATAGATTTCAGGTTCAGAAGGGACAATTGTGATAATCTAGACTAATCTCCTGTATACCACAAGCCACAGAACTGCCCCAAAATAATTCCCAGAACATCTCTTTTAGGAAAACAGTCAATCTTAATTTAAAAGTTGTCAGTGATTGAGAACCTACCATGATCCTTGGCAAGTTATTCCAATGGTTAGTTACTTTGTTAAAAATGTACACCTTATTTCCAGTCTGAATTTGTCTAGCTTCATCTTCCAGGCATTAGATCATGTTATATCTTTCTCTGCTTGATTGAAGACCCCATTATTAAATATGTTTCCCAGGAAGATACATGTAGACAATCAAGTCACCTCTCAACCTTCTCTTTCAGTTAAATAGATTGAGCTCCTTGAGTCTATCACTATAAGGCAGGTTTTCTAGTCATTTAATCATTCTCTTGGCTCTTCTCTGAAACCTCCCCAATTTATCAACATCCTTTTTGAATTGTGGACACCGGGGCTGGACACTGTGCCAGCAGCAGTCACACCAGTGCCAGAAACAGAAGTAAGAGAATCTCTCTACTCCCACTCAAGATTCCCCTGTTTATGTATCCAAGGATTGTATTAGCCCCTTTGGCCACAGCATTGTACTGGGAGCTCATGTTCAGTTCAATATCTACCATGACCCCCAAATCTTTTTTGAAACCACTGCTTTCCAGTAGAGAGTCCTGCATCCTGTAAGTATGGCCTACATGCTTTGTTCCTAGATGGACACATTTACATTTAGCCTTACTAAAATGTATAGTTTGCTTGCACCCAGTTTACTAAGTGATCCAGATTGCTCTGGATCAGTGACCTGTCCCCTTCATTATTTACCACTCCCCTAACTTTGGGGTCATCTGTAAACTTTCAGTGACGATTTTTTCTTGCACATCATTAATTAAAGTATTAAATAGTGTAGGGCCATGGACTGATCCCTGTGGGACCCCACTAGGAACATATCTGTTTGATGAGGATTTTCCCCTTTACAATTAGTTGGATCTTGAGTCCTATCAGTTTGCCAGTTTTTAATCTATTTACTGTGTGCCATGTTAATTTTACATCTTTCTAGTTTTTTCTAGTTTAGTTGTCATCCAGCAAGAGGCTTGCCTTATCTGTCAATCTCAGCAGTGAATTTGTCCTAAGCTTTTACTTCTTTATACTTTCCTGAGCCCTGCTAACATATATATTAAGGTTCTGGACCATGATCTTCAAATAGTCAAGACATTGGGTTTACATCAACCCCATCATATGCAGGGTTTACAGTTTGGTTCAATGGTTCTCAGCACCCCCATGATACAAATTGTTCCAGCACCCCTGATGGGGGGGGAGGGTAGGAGGAATAGCTCAGTGGTTTGAGCATTGGCCCGCTAAACCCAGGGTTGTGAGTTCAATCCTTGAGGGGGCCACTTAGGGATCTGGGACAAAATCAGTACTTGGTCCTGCTAGTGAAGGCAGGGGGCTGGACCTGATGACCTTTCAGGGTCCCTTCCAGTTCTAGGAGATAGGATATCTCCATATATTAATTAATCTCATCCCCAAAAATCAATACTTTCAACAGCTCACTGCTTTCCCCATAGTACTGAGCTTGGGCACTGGTTCAGAACCAATGCACAGAGAAGAGAGCTACCTACTGTATCATCTTGGGTTTTCCTCTGAGGTCTCCCATACAAGTACTGACCAGGCATGACCCTGCCTTACTTCAGAGTTCTGACAAGATCCCAGTCCAAGGATTTATTGTAGGCTGCAGCACCCCCAGGCTTGAAGTAGTTTCCATCATATGCAGGGTTTACAGTTTGGTTCAATGGTTCTCAGCACCCCCACAATACAAATTGTTCCAGCACCCCTGATTGTAGGGTCATTAATCAGTGTCTACTTTTCCCCTCCCCCCACCCATGACTTAAAAATCTTAGGTTGCAGAAGCACTAGCAGAAGGAAACTTCACTGAGTAAATCACCTCAACTACCAAACAAAATTGCTGTTAATATCCTGTTTTAATAATACATCCCATAGGGAGAGTTCTTAGCCTTAATTCAGTGCAGTGGTTGAATTTATCCCTCGTATAACCTCATTCACCTACAGAAGTGTAACATTAGTGGAGTTGCAAAAGGGATACATATGAATATGGCCAGGTATGTTTGTTAATTTCCATCTAGTTACAGCTTCCAGGATAGCAATTTTCTATAGTATAGAACAGGGGTAGGCAACCTTTCAGAAGTGGTGTGCCGAGTCTTCATTTATTCACTTTAATTTAAGATTTCGCGTGCCAGTAATACATTTTAACATTTTTTAGAAGGTCTCTCTCTATAAGTCTATATTATATAACTAAACTATTGTTGTATGTAAAGTAAACAAGGTTTTCAAAATGTTTAAGAAGCTTCATTTAAAATTAAATTAAAATGCTGATCTTACGCCGCCAGCCTGCTCAGCTCGCTGCCGGCCTGGGGTTCTGTTCACCTAGGCCGGCAGCAGGCTGAGCGAGGCCTACGGCCGGGACGCCAGCTGGCAAGGGGCCGGCAGCCGGGACCCCAGACCTGGGGGGCAGGTTCAGGGAAGAGAGCTGGGTGTGTGTGGTGGGGGGGGGGGTGCGAGGGCGAGGAAGGCGTGGGGTGGTGGTGGGGGGGGGGTTCGGTGGGGTCGGAGGGCGAGGAGGGGAGTGGGGGTGGTGGGAGGGTTCGAGGGGGTCGAGGG